AACTGTACGAATAGTGCATTGCATTGGCACTCCTTTGGCAACCTGTTGAATTGAGGTCTAGTATTTGCTGCCGTATAGTCTTGGTTTAGGCTGTGCTTGTTTAACTCATCTCTCTGCCATCTAGGATATTTTGCATTATTTTGTGCGGGTTCACTTATCGTCAGTGTATCTTTTATTTGACATAAATTTTCTTCTTTTTCGTAACAGCACCAGCTGCACAAGCCATTAGCTGGCTAACATAAAACACAACAAAAGCTAACCTAGCTTGAGTTAAAGTTACAACTGCCAAGCCACATTTTCACTTGACAAGAAGATGACCTGTAGAGGACCAGCTAGTGGCTTCAAAAAGCCATCTGGATTATCTACTAATTGAAAAAACAGCTGAACTAATGGATTATCTACTAAACGAACTTGATGTGCTGCCAGCTAAGCTAATTCACTGTTAACACTGAACCAACACTGTGTTTACTTTTAACCTACTGCATTTATGTTAATGGTGCCATTAATCCATATATGAAAGTTTTTGACCCATGACATACACATTTTCACAAACATTAGCTGTTTAATTTGAAAGTCCTCTATGTTTGTTTTGTTCTCATTTCTAATTTGCAAAAAATGTAAGGCATACTTCTAAGGATATTTAGTGATCACGAATGTCAGTGGATATACTATAAAAATTGGATTGAGTCACATTTTTAAGTATTTCTAAGTTTGCTAAATTCACCAGAATTAATAGTTCTACTGTTTGAAATGTGTTTTTAAAGGCAAGGTAATAACTCAATTGCCAAATTTTGTAACTCACTGCAATGGTTTTGGAAACCAAACAATAAAAACTGGGCCACGAGTCAGGAGCATGGTTAAAACATGTCATCGTCTTTAATGTGTTACTAAAAGCATATATGTTGTGTGGCAGCAATTGTGATTTTAGTAAAATTGCCACCATGAAATGGTTTAACTCAAAAAAGCACTGCTCTTATCATATTGTGGGTGTAGCTGAGATGTCAGTATGACCAAGCACTGGACTAGGCTAATGATTTACAAGTAATTGCAAACACAAATCCACATAAGTATAATAAATGTACTTCTGTCCACTGCTAATGCATGCATTAGCAGTGGACAGTCTAGGAGTTACCACTATAGCAAATAACAGCCGATCAACCTTGCACCATATATGCATCATATTCTGTGAGCTCTATAATATAGGCCTATAGAATATGTAGTATAGACTTACAGATATTAAGTAGATTAGATTACTTTGTTTTTTAAATGTTGTCAATGGATCACTGTAAGGAAGGTAATGACTTGAATGTATTTGAGGTGTATATTTGCACATGATAAAGCATATTTTGTCCAATGTTTTACTTCTTTGTAAAGCCATAGTCTCAAATTTACCTTTAAGTCACTTATTTGGTCAATATATAAGTTCATGGAAAACATTAGGACATGCTTATTACTCATCTTTTATGAATATTTTATTCAAACCCTCAAGTCCTCTATAACATAAAACTAAAGTCAGAAATGAAAATAACCCACTGAGACCCGTGGTGTGCAGGGAAAGCATTCATTGGGTCAGTAATAGTGGATGTAGAGGAGAACCCTCCTGGGGAGGTGCGGAATTTATTAAGTAAGCAAAAGCTAATACTTCATAAGTCATTAATATAATGCTAACCCTTCCAACACGCCTTTGATCTGATATCAATGCATCCAGTTTTATGCTGGGTAATATGTGGGTTATATTCAATCAGACATTTTTAACATCGGACCCCACAGGTTACTTTACTAAAACCATTGATTGCTTTAACATTGTACTATACATGTATGCAGAAGCGAAAATATACCTTTTTTGCGATGGTCACAGAATTTCTTTAATTTAACTTAACTCACTAGTCACCGGAAAAAAATTATTTCAAAAGTTGTTAGTAGCAATTAAATGAAGAGATCTATATTTCAGATCATACTTCAGTTTTAACCCTGAAAATTAGGTTAATTTGTTTGCCAAAATCTTTTGAGATCTTCTAAAACTTGCACAATGACTATTAGTGTTGAAAAAAAATCAAATTTTAACTGGTTTATTTATAAGTGTTCCCCACTTATATTATTATTGAAATGAAACAAGTGCTCTAATAAAAAATGAAGAATGGGAGGAGCATAAAACTGAGAGGAAGAAAAGCTTTGAACACTTTTATGAAAGAAGGGTGGATTCAGAGAGAAAACTAAAGGGACAATTATGTTTTCTGTTAAAAGATATTGATCAACAGAAGCAGCTTCGTGTAAATTTTAGCAACTTTACCTGATATTACATTTTCACACTATTTTACTGCAAAGCTGAGAGGGTGCACAATAAAAAAAAAAGTATTCTGGTTTAGCTGGCAAGAACAGCTCATAAAAATGTCATCTTTTTATTCCCTTTTAAGCCTCAGAACACTGAGATAACTCCCCGGTCTCCTGCTCACCTCTCAGCTTGCCACCAGGGCATTCAGAAAATGTGTAGCAGACTGGGGCGGAGAATGCATCATGTTTTTCAAATGATTTGTTGTACCATTCCACTGCAGAAGTATCATAGAGCACAAGTGTGTGCACCTCCAAACCACAGCTCAGACCTGGAGGCTGCATATTACAAACAGTCCTTTGCTGTTTGCCACTGAGCAGCTCTACTGGAGCAGATGGGAGATGAGTGTTTGAGGGAGAGAAACATTATTCATTAATTTCCTCTGCCCACATTTTAACAGCTAGTCTTGATATTTGAACCATTCACCTTACTGTGACAAGTTTCTGCCACTTGATTATTTGGGGTGCCCCATCCATGATACTGTTCTTTTTTTCAATTCAGTGTCTCTCTTATATGGTAAAACCCAATGTGATATCATAGAAGGGTGTATAAATAGCATGCCACATTTAAGGACATTTCGGCGTGCCATGTCAATGTATTTAAGCTTTTCGTCATTTCACGTTGTTCAGTCCCTATAGACCTAAGCACACCACAGGATGTTAACCCTATTTGCGCAGCTGTAGGGTTAACTGGTCGACATGCACATATAACGAATGATGGCATATTTTATGGTTAGCAGTAAAGTACTTTAACGTAGCTAAAGGAACATAGCTAATGCTATGTAGCTACATAGCTAAAGTTAGCAATGATGTAGCATGGTAACTTACGTAACGTAATGTAAGTAAAAAACAAAACTAATGTTGTGTAATTATGGTTTCCCCGAACGCCGGGCTCTTGGGTCAGGGACCAACTTACTATCCGCCAACCACCCGACCGCCAACTTAGTGTCGGACTTTCATGGCTATTATATCCTATACACGCTTTTGCCTGTGACAGTAAGCGTAAAATGGCACGCCGTTTCTGCACAATAAAAGTCAATGCAGTCTAAATGGCATGAAATGAAACGCGGAAAGCAAACAATGCATTGGAATACTACGCCAAAAGACTTAAGAAATTGCCGTGTTATTATTTTGATGATACCAGGCTGTAAAACCAACACACATTTTGGCACACACTTTCTCTTTAATCACTGGTCCAGTAAATAGTTTTATAAGAGGTCATAGAGATGAGGTTTTGGAGGCCTTAGTGTGAAATTATCTTTGGGTCAGAACTATCATTAGATATGACACCATCAGGAAAGCCATTTCTGTGAATCCTCCACCACATCTGCTCACATTAGTCCTCTTCATCTGCAGGATATGAGAAGACCATCAGAGCAGATGATTATGCTTGCAAAATGTCCCCCCACTGCTCTTCAGACCCAAAAAAGAGTCATCTTCTTTTAATCGAACCCATTGCTTTTTAATGGTAGGCAATAGAGATAAGAGGGAGAGGGACATACTTGGGCGGCGCAGGCAGTGAGCATCCATCAGCTACCAGCACAGAATTTCCTCTTATTTTCCTTCACTCTTTGAGGAAGTGAATGCAGGAAGCGCACTCTCCGCCCACCATTAGCAAGTGACACCTCCAGCAATCACTTTATTCAAATCGGCCTGGTGCTGTACCCCAGTCCAATCAATGGCATTTATCTGCTCTTTGAAAAAAGCCGATAATGGGATGAGGCAGTGCAGGGATCGAGGGAAGGCGGGGGGTGTTAGAGCTCTAAAGTGCCTGGTGTCTGTATGTCCTTTGTTTAAACTGAAATAGAACATGACAGTGTTGATTGCAAGATTAGCCTTGAGGATGAATGTCAGTTCAGAGTCTATGGGGTCAGGTGATCATGACACCAGGCTGGTGGGAACAGTGGCCATTGTATACTATGGCATCAAAAGTGGGAACGTGATCTGTCAGTGAGAATCATACTTTGAAAGGTTCAGGCAGCTTCCAGCACAGAAAGTGACATAGTATATTTTATAACAGTTTGGCAAGATGAAGAGAGACAAATGCCACTGAAGGAGGAGATCAAAACACCAGAGAGAATGTAAAGTCACTGATAGTTCCATGAGCTCGCCATCTGCTTGTCTGAGTTTTTGTATACTGGGAAAAAAAGGCCAGGCCTCTTTTTTTGTAATCAAAACACAACCTGGATTTTCAAGGGATTTCATTTCAAAAAACAGTCGGAGGATGCTGAGGCAAACGCCCACCAATGACTCAGGCAGTCACTCTGAACATCTCATGGATGTTAATTGTAGCACGTTTCCAGTAGTTGTTTACAGCAAAGCCAGACACGCATTCCCTGTCTCAGATTACCTTTATAAAAACTGGTCTAGAGAATGAAAGCACAGCCAAACCCTCAGTCATCATTCCCTCCCCAACTTGTCCCAGGCGGGTCCAACCTGGTATGACACACACCTCTATGCTTACCTTGGAGTACATGGCCCCGTTAAGGACCTCCCCATTGCGGATCCAGATTATTGAGGCTGCTGGCTTGGCGTTGTCAGCATGGCAAGTCAGATTGAGTGGGTCGCCAGCCCTTAGGCTCACCACTGGCCCTCCACTTATGACAGGGTCCTCTGGGGGAACTATTGATACAGAAACAGAGTAAGAGAGGGCATTAGCCACATGATAATAAATGTGTTGCATATTATTAGGAAACCAATATTGGTTGTCTAATTCACATGAAATCTGGACCATCATTAAAGTATATAGACATGTAACTGAGTTATTATTCAACATGTAATTGTTATTTTTGTTGAATGGCATATTGACATCTAATTACTTCACTAATTTTTCTTTTACATGCAATTCTGTCCAATAGCCTTTCCACAACACTGTGATACTAGAAGTCTACACCGTATAAGAAAAAATAATTTCAAATGGTACCTGCAAGGATTTGACTGCATTGCACCTAACCCTCATGAAACAGTGAGTACTTTGGTTTATTGTATACAGATTATTTTTCCTTAGAAAATAAAAGCCACGACTTTCGTTACTCATTCAATGACAGTAATGACTTCACAGTAAGAAGTAGCTTTATCCTGTGCTTGATCGAAAACTAGCAATAGATGGTGGAGTTTGAGGCATGAAAAGCTTTACACAGCACGACTCTCTAAATAACAATCATCTCTGCCATCAGTCAAAGCAGATGTGATTTCCCCACATTTATGTGTGTATACAAACAATACACACATACGTGTCAGCATTAAATGTAATTCAGTCTATGTATAAGCCCCCAGACATAGATGTAAACAGAGAGAAGAAAGCATCACAACTGTGCTATATGTGCCTGTAGATGGTACTGATCAAAGTCCTTTTCCTGTTTTACCAATGAGCCGATGTGTTTGTTTTTCTTTTTTTCATATGTGAAACTGCAGTGAATTATTGATTGACCTGAGTGCTCATTACAATGCAGATCTGGGCAAGATGAAATCAAAGGCTGCAGGCAGCTGCCATATTCCCCTGCAAAAGCACCATGATTGGAGAAGAGGTTGTTATGGGCTAGATTTAGGCTGTCAAACACCACTCAGATGAATGAAGAGAGAGAAAATGTAATTTGGGATACTGTTTTGTACGTTTAATGATAATCCGTATAAAAAGGCTCTTTTATGGACATAAATGAGAGTGTGGTGCCAGAAAAGTGTGCATACAGTGTTATGTTGCCCGCACGTCTATGAAATAACTTACAGAAAATTCAGTTATCACTTTACTTAACTCAGTTTTAGTTTTAAGTTTTTAAAAATAATCAAACAATACTTGTTTTATTTCTGATCTAGATACTGCATTAACTTTATAGTTATAACCCTTAACATTTTCATGAAATCAAACCATGCTTTTGATACTATTTATGGTCATAAATCTTTCAGCAATAGCCGTGTACATTCTGTAATTAAATTTTTATATTATATTTTTTCATTGTATTCCTGCACTGGATTAATATACCTTCCTACACACGAGAGATTCACATAAAATTATGCAGCCCATGATTCAGTGTTTCACTGTTTTAAATTTTATATCAGCCTTACTGCTTACTGTTCACTCTTGTAATGCTAACCAAATATTTGCTACTATTGCTGCCTCACATTGAAAGCATTCACCTGGCTTTTATTGTGAAGCAGTCACAGTCATTGCAGGAAAGGCAATGTGTTTGTCACATTGATGAGTGTAGCGCCGTTACTGCAATCCTTTATTAAAAATGTGTCTACAAAACAAGACATGGAGATTTGTTGTGTGGAAAACTACTTCCCCGGTGCACCATGAAATCAGATCACGTTTGGAAATATTTTTTAAAGACTTCTCTATTAAAACAAGTTTGTTTGGTTGAACTGTAATCCGATACACCAGTTGTATTTCAGACAAAGCACTGTAGCTGCTCAAGGGTGTCCCAAAATCAACAAGGACTGAAATCTTAAGGATTACAAATTTAAGATGTAGATTTTAGTCTAATGCAGAAGTGGTCACATATCATTTGTGGCATATCATTCAAACCATGAAGATCAGCACCTTGAAGCTGGTCATCTACATTAACATTGCACTCCAGTTCTGTGGCACAAGATCATTTTAGTCTTCAAGTGCTGTGGTTGATTAGTGCATGGCGGAGGCGTTTTGGTCTTTTGCTCATATGACTAATGCCTTTCCATTACAAAAAAGACAAAAAGACAGGCAATAGGTTTGTTTGTCCAAATTATCAAAAAGCACACCCATCAGTAGCACACATTGACAATGAAAAAGACCAGACCAGTGTGGGAACAATGCACTCTGGATGCTGACTAGACCAGACTAATAACTTGACCAGTAAATTTGCAATTTCAAAGACAATTCCCACTCACTAGTTACTATTGTGTGTTTGAAATGCAGTGTTAATTCTGGCTGGGTCCCTTTCATCTGGTCTTCATTAATATGCAAAGGGTAGGGAGAGGTAGAGCAATCTCGGGTCAGCATTAGCAGATCAGACAACACAGTGTGCTGATCTAGGCAAGTAAGAAAGAATCTTTGTGAGAATGTGGTCACCTTCTGGTCGGTTATTAGCAATTGGAAACAAGGTCAAGAAGATCGGATTAATTTATATGTATCTTAAGAATATAGCTACAGCATGGTATGCAAATGAGACAAGGAGCATGTGAAAAACACTATGAGCCGGGACTCTCAAACAGCTTTCCCGTTTGAAGAAAATGAACAAACTTTGAGGCTCAGTGATAGCACTGTGACAGTTGATTGCAGAGATCCAGTGTTACTGGCTTTCTGTCAGTGTTCTCTTGCACACATGACTGAAACATTAATTAAATGTCAAGAATATAATATACAGCCATAAAAGGGTTTTTATGGAGAGTGGGAGATTAGAAAGAAAAGCATGACAGTATGTGACTGATAGGACTCAGACTTGAATGCTCACTGCAATGCAAGCGAGGTGATTTTCCTGCTATTACTTACAAGTGCTCAAGACTCTTAGAGAAAGAGAGATCAGAGACATTTTTTTTGCTTTCTCTCAAAGTAAAAAGTTCTCCTATACACACATTAACACATATTACTGTCTATACATAAGTGCTACAGGGTAACAAAGTGACACCATTAATCAACAAGGTTATACCCTCAGACTTTAGGTCACAATGTACCTCCTTTGACCTTTAACCATGTGTTTACCATTAAGGGCTGTCAGAGCATACAGTGCAAGAGAACTTTATGATTCTTTGCACAGCGGAGCTACATGGGAGAGAGGAGGTCACATGTCCCCCTGGAGGGCTACCTGCCAGCAAGACACTGAGGGTGAATGGTGAACAGATAGAGAGAAGACGGGCATGGCTGGCTGCCTCCACCCAGCACCCATATCTTTGAATGTTTCTGTCCTCCATTGTGTTTGAGATCTTAGAGTATGCGGAGGGTAAAGACAATTTGTGACTGTCTGGACTGAAATTGTTTTCTGTGTAAGTACCACATGCACAATGCTCTCAGCATGTGCTCTTATGGAATCTTTTTGAAATCACCACCACTAAAAGAGCATGGACAACTCACCAAGGCAAAAAAACAGTTAGACTTAATTACACAATTGTCCAGTAAAAGAGGAAACATTTACGCTCTTTTTCTTGGCAGGTGAAAGCCTTTATGTCCGCTGAAGAAATGGGAAAATATGTGACCAATAACCCAACATCCATTGAATACAAATGAATGTCTAGGAAAAAATTATTTAAATAGATATTTAGCTCTTGCTCTTCATCTGAAATCCTCCACTGACCCTGCCTTATGACTGCCAGGTCTGATAGTTATACAGAGGCCAAGCCTTGAACTTGAATCAGCCATCATCATTACTGGGCTGTTTGCAAACTCGGCAGTCCCTAATGGTTCTAAATTAGCTCTTTACTGCAGCCATTCGATGGACTTGGCATAAGTAGTGTGGTCAGTGGTACAGATTGATCGCTCCTCTTTAATTACAGGGCAGACTCACTGCAAACTCTGCTCCACTTGCTAATTTTTTCTTAGTTTTTTCTTTTCTTACTGTAATCCCTTTCAACACTTTCACAAATTTACATTCTCCAGTGCATGAATAGTCATGGACATGTGTTTCAGTTATTACAGGTTTTATGTAAACCAAAGATAACTAATATCAGATCAGTCACAAAGCGGTTGTGCTATTAATCAAATATATAACGCCTTTGGTTTTACCTAAATACTGTAAAATAGACATAAGCTAACAGCCAGTTCATTAATTTGATCATTTGAAAAAGAGTTTGTTGGGGTTTTTTGGCTTTGTTAGATCATGACATAGATGTCATGGTAGTTATACGCTCCAATCAGTCCCTTTTTTGTGTGAGTGAAAAATCCAATTGCTATGTCACAGCGTACACTAACCTAAACCAGTCCCTTAGATGGGTAATTCCACAATTTTGCTGTAAGACTGCTTAAGTCTTATGGAGGTCCATCACCGCACCTAGTCTGAGATAAGATTTGGGCTTCATTTATATCTCCAAATCTACCAATGGTGGACATATTTGACTACACTCAATCAAAATGAAAAAAAAAAAACAGTGATGTCAGAAAGCCTGGAATTCAGTGAGATCATTTACTTTTACTGCATAATCAATGTTATCCATAAATGAGACCAAGGCATATTGATGTGTAATTAAGTCAACAATGCAAGGCAGTAAGTCCGTCACCTCTGAGAGGGGCCTGAATAAACCCTGTGGAATATAAAGCTGCCTTTTTGTCCCGTGATGCATATGAATTCTCCAAACACCGAACATAAAATTCCACAAACACAAAACATAAAACTTGAATTTATGCGAGGGGAAGCTGATAACATGTGCTGGAGTTGGCTGAGAAGTCTTCTTCGGTCTGGTAACAACTGGTGTTACTGTAAATCTGCTGGGTTTTCCAGGCCAAACCAATATTTGGGGGACTTTTCCAAAGCAGCCAATAAAATTCTGCAAGAACCCCAGCTTTCCGGGAGCATGAGCAAGGGAGAAAAAGCAATTTGGAGGCGAATGAATAAGGGAGGGCTCCCCACAAGGAGGCTGGATGGTGTAGGGGAGGGGAGGCTGGCAATGTGTAGCTGCCGTAGAGCTGTGCTTCAGCAGACGTGTCCTGAACAGCA